CAATTGTGGGTGATGTGGTCAGCATTATTTAGACGCCTTTGCTTCCCTAACGTGAGTCAGGTACTCATCGGAGCTAGGTGGATTCAGTGACGTCCTACAGACTCGAACTCGGGATCCGAACTCGATCGGGACACTGGTTTTGTTTTTTTATGAAGAGTTTAACTTGCATGTTGTCTTTGCTTGCTATAAGCGTTTAGGTGTTGTAATGTGTATGAATATTGAGAGTTTGTGAAGTCTTTTTAAGCGTTTAGATTGAATTTAATACTACAGTACCCATAGAAGCCTATAGTACCCATGACTTTGATTCTTGACAGTTTTGCCTTGTATATCTTTATTTGGCCTAATCTTTTGACTCACCTGGAAGTGTGCCGAGCTACACACAAATTTACCAAAATCAGGGGGCTGGACTTGCGTGACTCACGCAGAGAACTTTTGGAAGAGGAAGATTTATGATTTGATTTTATCAAGCAGGTTAGGACTGGGCCGCCTGGACACTAGGAATAATCCATGTAGGCCTTTAGAACGGTGCTGTAATATTAGGTTGTCCATAAACTACGTCACACCCCTGTTATCATAACTTGGTTTTATACCAGCAGAAATATGCGAATCAGTTTTGAAATCTTTTAAGTGACCTGATGAATAATATTGGCCAAAAGACTGAAGTTCTTCAAGCGCAGATGGTAGCCAAGTACCAGGTTGTTGTGCTAGCAGTTGTTATAGCTCCTTACAATACACGTGTGCCAATTTAGGTTTCGACGCCAGAGACAACATATTATAAGTATAAGAAAGAGTAACTTAAATTTGTTTTGTTCACATATTTAAGATCCGATTAAAAAGTAAGTCGATGGATCGTCGTCCCATATGATCAGAGGTGTCACAAGGGGGGGGGGGTGCGGACCGCACCTGGTGTCACATTGCAATAATACAATATATACGGGACAAATGCTTTCTCAAGTTTAATTTATGTTTCATTAAAGTTGAGTAGTTTTTGAAGCACAAATTAAGGATTCCGAAAGTGGGTTGGGTGGAGTGAAACCGACTGAAAACTTTATAAAGTCTACAGAGGAAAAAAAATGTTTTGTTGAGTATTTTCAATAACTGATACTTCATCCAACCAGTTGCGTAGCGAGGTCGGGTGTCACCCGGTGCGGCACTTAATGGTGTCACCCCCCCCCCCCAGACGCGTTGCGACCCTTCCCGGGGACAAACTTTCAAGTTTTCGATTTGCACCCCCCCCCCCCTCAAACTTTCGATTTGCACCCCCCTCAAGTTTTTCTCTATATATTTTGCTATTTTTTGCCTTGGTGTCACCCCCCTAAATGGTGTCACCCGGTGCGGTCCGCACCCCCGCCCCCCCCCCCCTCGCTACGCCCCTGCATCCAACCACCGGGGTGGGGGCGATACAAAATTGACGTTATGAGAAGGGGATGTGACTTAAATTTTAACTTTCACAGAAGAATGTATTGTTCAGAACGATATAGGCCTACACAGCCCACACGAAAATTGGAAAATTGCAAATCAACATATCACTCCGTGCTTTGACATGGCTACTAAGTAACTTTTCAATGCTAAATTCCTAACCAAGTATATTATTATACAACAGCTTCCGTGAACGAAAGTGTGTGTATAAGCAAGGGTGACACCAGTAAAACAACAATTGCAAATTTAAGTGTGAAATTTGGCTTCAGTAGTTTCTTAAAAAATCGCTATTCTGATATTTTGTTTTTGTGTTGATTTGTCATGCATGATTTGTGATTAACAGGCTATTTTTCTATCTTATAAAAAAAGTATGCCAAACAGTATGTTTGTGTGACAGTAAATGAAGCTGGGGTAATGAAAATGTGTCCTATAAATTTTAGAATCAGCTCTAATCCTCTTTCAACTTTAGTTAATTAGGCTAAAAACTTTTTTTCTGTCATATTCAACTTATGAAAAACAATTTCTAATGCTTATTTTTTAGATGAAATGAAGTCACTTATACATTTTTGTTAACTGTTTGCTGCAAAAATCTATTCAGTTTCTTCACTTTTTTCTGTTATAGCCATTTCTGGATTGTTGTTAAAATTGTTAAAACGGCCGAGTATTTAAAAATGATGGGAATAAACTTTAGATAAAAGTGTGGGATCATAAAATCGTGATAAGGGGAAGTAAGCAGAAGTCAAAGAAAGTATTAATTTCTACTCCATCGTAATAAAAACGTTGGATATTGTGACAAAAAGCGAGCTTTATTACGTTTATTTTCATAAACAGGCATTATCAATGTTCAGAAGCCCACCAACCGTCTTCTTATAGAAAAAACATGTATAAAATGCACTGTAAAGGCATTTTGTAGCCTTTTACTTTTATAATTTTAAAAATAAAGCTTGATTCTCTGAACTTCAAAACATTTACAAAGCTTTGAAAAAAGCTGTATACTTATTATATCATATACAGTAACGTATTTAACAAATAAAATAGGCTAAACATGCATTAAATCGTATAAAAGAAGTCAAATAAGCTTAATTTGTGTCAAACAACAACTGTCAAAATCATGAATCAATCATAATAAACAATATGTATAGGGATCTATTCAGTATGTCCTATTTGTCAAGTCCCAGTTAGAAACAACTCTTGTTGTTTTGTACTAATTTTACCATTATATGTTAAATTATATTAAAATAATCAAATATACAAACATGTTTCTTTTTTAACAAAAATAAGCACCAAAGAAAAATACATGGAAAGTGGCATTACAAATAAAAAAAAAACAATTGTTAAATAATATAATATAGAATAGATCTACATTAAACTGGTGATTTGATACATTTTTGGTGGGAGAATAGTATTAACGAGCCGGCCCGCGGCATAACATACGCCGCTATTTAGTTGTTTCTAATTTTCAATAATTCATAATTTGTGAATTCGACAGTACCAACGCTGACACTGAAAATATTTCTTTAAAACACTATAAGTAGCTCGTTAAGGACCATAACCCCCCCCTTCCTTCCCCCCCCCCTACGTTTAAAATCGTTGGCTCTGCTTGTAAACATTTAGAGTGAACACAGCTCACTAAAACCATGTAGGGGTGGGGAGGTAGGGAGAGCGTTTGCAGCTTGTTTTCTAACGGCTCGAAGAAGAGAATTATATATATAGATAGATGATACTTTGTTTAGAACATAACTTAAAAAGCACAATATTTACATCGTGCAGTAAATCATTTATTAGCAGTTAATCATAATATACACAATTTACAAATAGATAATACACCAGTCTTTATTCATTAAATATTATTATTATCAAAAAAATTTAAAAATAATAACACAATTACATGCTTATAATCCACATTAGAAATAATAGGTACAGAATAAGCCAACATAGCTAATAAACAATCTTTATTTTATTTGAAATATCAAGACTGCAGCATATAGATACCAAGATATGCGGTCTAGACTGGCCCAAAAACACCCCACTCAGAATGAAACTGTATAGGGAGCTTGCGAATCTGGAGATGACTGTGTAGTTCATCTACAAGTAAACATTGGTCTTGTAGTATGATTCCTTCCATATAAAAAATAATGATGACAAAGAAGAAGATATGAAACATTTTTAGTAAATAAATAAATAGTGCTGGAATGCACATTTTACATAAACCAAAGAAAATAGAAAACTGATTTGGCATTTATACATAAAATAAGTAAAGCATGCAAAAGTCAGTTATTATATGTTAAATCACTTTCATATAACTTGCTAAAAGCATTATATTTCACACACAAAAAACTGTGAACAGAAGAATACTTTTCCTTATTTTTACTGCCAAATTTAAATAAATTGTATAATAATAAAGTGTATAATCTGGGGTCTGGGGGTGGAGGGGCGGGGATGGTGGTAACATCTTGCCTTACTAGACCTTCTTCAAGCAAAGAAGTCAAAATTCTACATTTAGGAATGGGATCATTTTTGTTTTTGCAATGAAGTAAATGATTTAAAAGTTCATAATGGTTCATAACATAATGACAAAACAGAGCAAGCAGGTAACATTGTTATTTGGTCCCTTTAGAAGTCTTTGGATTAAAGCAGTAGAACTGAGAGGCCATGTACATTAAATTATGGTATTGCACATGACAGCATCAATGCCTGTAAGCACTGATGTGAATAACTCATATAACAATGAATGAGCTCATATATATATATATATATATATATATATATATATATATATATATATATATATATATATATATATATATATATATATATATATGTGTATGTATATATATAGGTGAGAAGAGCAACACAAAGATAACTATGTCAACAAAATTCCTCATTGCACTTTGTAAGGTAAATAAGAGATGTAAGGCAACCTTCATGCAAAAATAAACTATGAACAAGCTGTTCAAGTCATTTCCTAAACTGTTTTACAAATTATTTTCTGATGCTAAGCTCTTGACTCCAGAGGCTCTAAATACAGATCGTTGTTGAAGGACGGGGGTGGAGAGGCTGGAGGCTGAACCCAAACATTGGGCTGGAGGCTGCTCGTAGACCTGCTATGTGATGTTTCACCAGGTTCTTTATGCCTATCACCTCGACGATGATTGTTATTGTTTTGGTACTGTAAGGTGTGGAAAGGTGAAAGGTCATGAAGCAGCTTGTGTTGGCTTGGACTTTGACCTAGGGAATAATTGTCATTGTAAGATAAATGCTGTTGCTCTTCATCTGGACAAAAGAAAAATGAACTTTGAGAAGGAAGAGTCTGAAAGTGATGCCAACGTAGACTTCTTTCTGAATCAATGGCTGAAGACTGAACCATGACATCACATGACCTGGCACTAACTGTATCAGGAAATTCCCTCTCAGACGCGTAATATTTCATCAACATTTCTAATTCTTCCTTTCTTTTTCTTTTAAAAAAGCCACACTGGAAAAAAGCCAAACATAAATTTGAATTTTTTCAAAATAGATCTGAGAATTTTTAGTTTTTTAGTATTATTTTATATATATATATGTGTATGTATATATATAGGTGAGAAGAGCAACACAAAGATAACTATGTCAACAAAATTCCTCATTGCACTTTGTAAGGTAAATAAGAGATGTAAGGCAACCTTCATGCAAAAATAAACTATGAACAAGCTGTTCAAGTCATTTCCTAAACTGTTTTACAAATTATTTTCTGATGCTAAGCTCTTGACTCCAGAGGCTCTAAATACAGATCGTTGTTGAAGGACGGGGGTGGAGAGGCTGGAGGCTGAACCCAAACATTGGGCTGGAGGCTGCTCGTAGACCTGCTATGTGATGTTTCACCAGGTTCTTTATGCCTATCACCTCGACGATGATTGTTATTGTTTTGGTACTGTAAGGTGTGGAAAGGTGAAAGGTCATGAAGCAGCTTGTGTTGGCTTGGACTTTGACCTAGGGAATAATTGTCATTGTAAGATAAATGCTGTTGCTCTTCATCTGGACAAAAGAAAAATGAACTTTGAGAAGGAAGAGTCTGAAAGTGATGCCAACGTAGACTTCTTTCTGAATCAATGGCTGAAGACTGAACCATGACATCACATGACCTGGCACTAACTGTATCAGGAAATTCCCTCTCAGACGCGTAATATTTCATCAACATTTCTAATTCTTCCTTTCTTTTTCTTTTAAAAAAGCCACACTGGAAAAAAGCCAAACATAAATTTGAATTTTTTCAAAATAGATCTGAGAATTTTTAGTTTTTTAGTATTATTTTAATGAAGTGTACTAAAAAGTTTACATTATCTATAAATGATTGATACAAATCACACTTACTTAAGCCGTTAAAACTGTAAAAAGAAAAATATTTATTAAAAAGTATAAACTGACCTTCCACAAAAGAATTACACAAATATACAATAATAAAAGTCCACTGGAACAGCTGATGATCAACACCCACCAGCTAAGAGTTGGACTAGGCAATGACTTGAACATTATGAATGTTGAAACCTAGTGAAGTAGTTTGAAAAATATTCTCTTTATTAAAAAAACAAAATGTATCAATTATTTTCAAACCTAGATCTTAAATTTCTTGATTGAAAAAACAAAATGTTTCAATTCTTATTAAACCTAGATCAGCAGGAGTAGGAAGTAATATTATATTTATTACCGTAGCATTGGAGGATTGAGTCAAAGACTCATAAGACAAATAACTTGGTTCACGTAGCTGGCACATACTCACAAAGTGAAGAATTTGATCAGCCTGAAATATTGAAGGCTCAATATCTTGAGGTCTGACATAGAAATTTTTAATCATACTTAAATAAAGTCATTTTAATTCATAGATTTATTTTGTAGTCTTGTTCAGTGTTGAAGCACACTAGCTTTAAAGACTAATAAGTCTAGCAGCCATTGGCTTTAATAGAAGTTATAAGTTAACTAGTTGTTGTGATAATGTCACTCATCAACCTAAATGCAGTCATAAAGTTGTTTGCAGTCGAATTTTATTCCACTGAAATCATAAACAAACTACCTTTATTTTTTCCAGGACATTCTTGTGAATTTCAATACTTAGATTGACATAAACAGTTTCATATTTTTGCATGTGGCCCATGTAGCAAGTCACATTAGTGCACAACATACTATCACATTGCTAAAGAAAAAAAAAGGCACAATTAAAAGGTTGGCTAAAAGTAAATTGTTCAACTACTTGTCTATTTCAGATTTTTTTTTAAAAACTGAAACAGACTGAAAAATTAAAATCCAATATATTTCTGCAAATGGTGATAATATTTAATCAAGGAAGAAAACTAGTTTATAAGAAATGCTCCTGAGTGAATCTTGTGTTATCTAAGTTATGAATAGGATGTAAAAATTCACACCAGATATGTAATAGTTCCTGTTTCTTCAGGCCATCGCTCTTGGCTAATGTTCCCACTTTCATCAGATAATTTGTTACATTCAATAGGTAACCTTGATGGTGAGTTGCCACTGGTTTTAGATTCAACCTGAGTAAAGTTAGTAAACAGGCTTATTCTATTTTTGCTTACTATATTTACAATGTTTTGTGAATGTGGATTAAAAAATGGCTTATAAAATTAAACTAAAAGAATACTTAGCATTTATAACTCTACAGATACTTTCCTGCATATTTAACATGCTATTAAACTTTAAAAATATTTTTTACCTGAACTCGGGAAAGCTTTATCCATTTAGATGTTGGCACTGACAGTACAAGCTGGCCATGAGGTAAAGGACTTGGACCCAAGTTGGAAAGTATGTAAAGATGTGATAGGGACACCCAGTCTGATGCCACAGGAAGCCTGGACTGATCATGGTATGTTGTAACTTGCCTTGGTATTGACACACTGAAATTGAAGATACCAAAAATATGAGTCATAAATCCAGTATATCTATTTTTACTCTAAATAGTGTAAGACCAAATTATGAAACATTAAAAATGAAATGTCAATAAATTTAATTTCACAAACTTAATTTTTTCCTGTTAACTAAAACCTTGCATGCAGAAAGAAAAGACTATACCCTGTAAGTCTCATTTTTGCCTTAATTCTGATGGGAATAGTTAAAGAAATATTTTCCTTTGCATGATTGGCAACTGATGCCACTTGTACTTGGACTGCCATTTTATGTTGGTCATATGAAACTCCAAAGGCATAAAACCTGGCACTAAAATGCACCTAGACACAAAAAAACAATAACTAGGTTTAATTTATTATAGTCATTTTATTCTTTTACAAAAAAATCTATTATAAAAATTATTTAAATATTTAGAGTTGGGTTATATGAATATTCAACAGCTTATCAAACCACAACAACAACTTCTGTCAATGTTTGCCTCCCCACTTACAAATTTTAAAAAAATTCAAAGTTTAGTAAATTACATTTTTCAATAGCGTCCCATTAACATACTTATCAAAATATTTTATAAAAAGCAAACTCCAAATACTTTAAATTTGAAACAATTTCTACTAATTTGAAGAGCACAGAAATAATAGTCTCACAAAAATGAACAATTAAACAGTAATTCTCAATATGGTATGATACAATCAGTCGTATTATTTTTACATCTCTATTTTAAATTACTGTTTTACTTTAAGTTAATGAAGAAATTGTAACTCTTATAGATAATTTCATATTCAAAGAATTAGAATATTCTTCTGCTTATATTCAAAAAATTAGAATATTCTTCTGCTTTATAAAAAGTGTGTAAATGTCATTAATAGAACTGTTTCTGATAATAATTATTATAAAAATTAAAATCAGATTCCCATGCAGAAATTAAACTTTATAACAGTGGTGCACAACAAAACAAAGTAATATTTTTTTTAAACTAAACACTTACCTTTTGTCCAGGCTTTATAGGTGAAAGAATATCACATGTGAGCTTATTCATAGACCTATTAAATCCTGGTAGAGCAGAGCTACAGAAAACATTGACATTTCCATCTTTGGCAGTGGTGAATTCCAGGCTAGTTGGATAGTCCAAAGTTGTGACAGTCAGATATGAGATATCTGCAGTCTCTGCATTGAGTATATTTACCTCCAGGTCAAAGTATGGTGAATTATCAATGATCAAGCTAGTTTCATTATTCTTGAACACAGGAATCGCTTGGATGCTGAGCTTTGGTTTACAAGTTTCACCACATTCCAGAGCAAAATAAACCTGTCAAATAAATAAATTAAAACTTGTTTGTTAATTTTTGAATGAATAATATTTTTCATTAAAAACATGGACAGATGAAATTTAGTAGGCCTTACTTACCTGTTTGTGTAGTTTTGTTGGATTGAATTTGTTTTGAATTGGACAAATGTCACATTGACTAGCAAAGCCAACTGAGTTTGAAGAAATATCATAGGCAAGATTTATCTGGAGTGGTGTAACAACATCTCTGCTTTTCTATAAGTTACAAAGATTAAATGATAAAAAGTCAGCTTTTATCAACATATGTTGATTGTGCCTATTTTTTCTTATTAAAACATATCAAGGTTTTTATTTTTAAGTTTCAACAAAAATATAAAATGCTAGATAAGGTTCAAAATTTATTTTTTTATTTACTTTCAAAATATTTCCTATAGCTGTTCAACTTGTACAATAATTTACAATCAGAACACTTTACATAAAAAATAATAATTTAAAATTTGCTAACTTTTGATAGCCCTACAGTTTGCCTCCCAAAATTTCCTACATTTGAGGGGAGGGGGGAGGGCTATATAATCCCTGATCCATCTATCAGCATACTGATAAATATTACCAACCCTTGCAAAAATGTAGAATTTTCTGTCACAGTTTAAGTAGTCCAATCTTGTGACAAGTATCTCATTAACAGATTCTAATTCTGAGTAGCCTTCTCCTTGGATGAACAACCTTAATCTTTCATTTCTATGACGGTCAAGTGTGTCCACTGTTAACGTTATGTTGATTTCTTGAAAAACAAAAGCAAATCAGCATTATCCTGCAACTAAGATCTACTGATTTGAAAAAAGGCAAAATGATTAACATTTTTCTAATAAGAAAGGAAAAGCCTACACAGCTGTTAAACATTTTTAGCCTTATAATAGCTTCCATACAATTGAAGATCTAGACTTGTTAAAAACTTTAGAAAAGCTAACCTTGATGTTTTAAAAATGATGGTTATGGCAAATAAAAAAAATTGAAATTATTATGTGTAGAACCATTATACACAAATAACTATAGAAGTAGAAGCAAAAAAGACTGTTTATTAAAATTTTAACAAAATAAAGTAAAACTTACCCAAAAATGGAGGCAAGTTTTGGCCTGTGTACTTCAAGCAGATGGTTGCTTTGAAACAGTGCATGGGTTGGCCACGATACATACAACTAGGATGACTCCTAAGGTCTAGAAGTGTTGGATTGATTTCAAGTTGAGCTTCTAAATCTACAACTGATCTACTTCTTAATAAAACAACTCGATTTGATTCAAAGGCTCCAACTGCAAAATCTTATATTAAAAAAGATATATTAGTTGTGGTATTTATCTCAACTAATCTTAACTAATATTGGTACTACAAAAGAATTTGTGCTATAAACCAGCACTGATCACCTATGGTTTACTTAAATTATTCACTTCTTAGCTGTCAGCATTACACGGCCAATTAAGCTCATGGTTGCTAAACTGACAAGTCCAGAGTTCAAACCCTATGGTACACCTATTATAACTTTTGCACCATTATTTTGAGCAATGATCTTCGATAATTTGGATTTATCTTAGCAAGTGCTCTTTACTTTCAATTTCAAATAAACAGTACCTGCATTATCTTAGCAAGTGCTCTTTACTATTAATAATTCTGATTTCAAATAAACAGTACCTGCATTATCTTAGCAAGTGCTCTTTACTATTAATAATTCTGATTTCAAATAAACAGTACCTGCATAATGATTGCCATCAACATCCCATGGCCGAGAAAATGACCACCCAAAAGTCTTAAGGTCTTTGCCAAGACTTTTGCCAACAATTCTCTGAGATGGTACAGAACGTAATCCAGATTTGTCTCCATTGTAAATGTAAACCACACCAGATCCTTCCTCATAAGGTGCACCAACAGCTATGTCTAGTAGAAAGTAAACAGCAATTAATTTTTATTTCATCTATAAGTTTTAAATATTGCATTTATGCATTTTTTCCTAAGATTTAGCTGTACTGTAAGCATCCAAAAGTTCCAACAAACTAAATTAATAACTCATACCTTGGTAACCATCCAAGTTAATATCCCCTAAGTTGGCAATAGCTGTTCCAAATCTGGCACCAATAGCATTAGATCCTGCTAGCAGTGGTTCCATCAGCTCTAAGTTAAACTGTTATTCAAAATCACACAAGCTTTTATTCCAAGGAAATAAAGGTGTGTATTTTACTTATACAAGATATAAAACAATAACAAGGTAGCATTAAACTTAAAAGCAAGATTAATCACTTATCATCAGTTATTTTAATATTTTAACATCAAGATTATATTTCCTATCAACTATAACAACGTTAAATTTGACAGACCTAGATAAATTATTTAATATTTATATCTTGTTACACCCCTATCTATTAGTAAAAAATAATGTATATATATATATATATATATATATATATATATATATATATATATATATATATATATATATATATATATATATATATATATATATATATATATATATATATATATATATATATATATATATATATATATATATATATATATATATATATATATACAAATCTTTTTAAAATTTGAATATATCATGGAGGGGTTGAGCAATTGAGTTCATAATTACAAAATTAAAGAAAATGTTGAATTCTCAACATAATTTTTTTGTCTTCATGTAAGTCCACACATCCAGTGGAATACTTTCCATGATTACTGTTATGTTAAAATATATTGTATTTATTCCATCTGTCCTAGTGATCAAGTCTTATTTAGGCTAACCTCATTGGGTTTTTAACCTCTAATTCAAAAAAATTAAAATGGATTGTTTAAATTATTGGAGTTAAGTAACTTAAGTTAGGTCTCATTAACTATAATTAAATAGCTTCTAAAATTTTAGGATAAATAAAGATGTAAATTAATAGCCAACTTACAAACTCTCTGTTAATAAATACATAAACTCTTCCTTCATCCATTTTGTCTGAATAATGTGGAGCTCCAACAACCAGGTCATCTAATTTGTCACCATTTACATCTACAGCACACACTGAAGAGCCAAAGGAACTCCCCAACTTAAGAAATAAACATTTCAGGTTTTAACTATGAAACAAGAACAAATATAAAACAATATTTTTTTTTAATTGTAGGAAAGCTATGTAAGTAGACTACATTTTGTGCAAATTTAAGGTTTGTGTGAAATTCAAATAGTTTACTAAGTTAAAAATGTATGACTAGGATGACAAATGTATAAAATGATGACTAGTATGTAATAAAGAAATAGCAAGGGCAGGCTTTGGAAAGCTAATAACAACATTAGAACACTGTGGTAAATAAATTGTGAAGGGATAAAATACTTTACCTGTTCTCCCATTTTGACCAGAATCAGTTGTTGGTCAGTATTGTAACCAAACACCTACAAAAATAAATTCGTTAATATTAAATTAATGATAGTTTTTTTATAACCATCTAAAAGCTTGTGGTATGAAAACAGGAAACAGTTTGTCATTAAAAAGCTATTTTAAAAATATCATGTCAAAATATGTTAATGAAAATATTGACAGCAGATCTACCTTGCCATGCCCGCCAGCTCTTGGCCCACCAATGATAATAAAAGTGATTTCATCCTCAGCTTTTAATTTGGCTGTGGTGACAGACATACCTGTCAATAATTTTAACAAAGGTAAATTAAGGTGAGGGATTAATAGGTACTGTAGAAGAGAGGCTTGCATTATTCACATGGTACTACTATTTCTTATTATTTTAAAATTGTGTTTACCAAAGTATGAGTCATGTTCTGCTTCCCATGCAAGTTCTAGGATTTTTGGTTTTATAGAATGGTGCGGCTCAATATGTGCGTAGCCTCCTAAACATAGAAAAATGTCATTAAATATGTGGCATATTAGCATTTTCATTATTTAAATAAACTTATTTATTTACTACAGTTACATTTTGTATTTGTGTTTTACCTGACCAGTCATTAAGACCAGGTGCTCCAATCACAGCAAATGTACCATCCTAAAAGTGTAAAATAACTTTTTAGTTTGCCTTATTGGCAAGAAAAGTTCAAATAAGGGAGTAATTCTTTGTCTTTAAGTTATCATGATTGATTTTGTACTTAAAAATTTAAACCTATCTTCCTCAGTTAGAATTTAATACAATATTTTTGTGTATTTGTAGAGAACTTTTTAATATTTTTGGTGATATAGAAATTAAAACAAAATTATTTACCCTGGAGTAGACACTAGACATTCCAAGAGTGGCCATGCCATAGCCAAAATAGGACTTCAGAATTTGCTTTTTATAATTTTCAAACACTGGCCAGGCACTATTTTCATTAAACTTTAAATCTCTATTTGCCTCATAACATAATCCATTCATCAGCATTAAATCTTGAACCAAAAACTTCTGATCCTTCCATCTAGGTGCACAAATCTTAACACAAGATACACATTTTGTATTACTTTATTAAATTAAGTGTCATGTTAAGGGCAGATGGAGGGGGATGGGAACTGAGGGAAATGAACACCAATATTAAAATATAATAAAATAATTAAATGTTTAATATATAATAACAACCAATTATATGTGTGAGTATAAAGGCCCCATATATATATATATATATATATATATATATATATATATATATATATATATATATATATATATATATATATATATATATATATATATATGTATGTGTAAGTGTATATATATATATATATATATATATATATATATATATATATATATATATATATATATATATATATATATATATATATATATATATATATATATATATATATATATACACACACATATAAAGTAAACCACTGGTCTAAATAATATTCTCTTCCTATTTTTAAAACATATTTCAAGTAAGGATGTAATTATTTACCATCACTTTGAAATCTCCATGGATGTTGACATCAATTGATGCTCCTAGCCACATGTTATTTTTGTTGTGGTGAATAGTAATATTTTTTCCTTTGTAGATTGTTTGTTTTTCATTTCCTTAAATACAGATAAAATCAAAAGTGTGAGTGTCATACATAAATGTAAATAAAGTTCCTTTTCAAACCTGGTGGTCCACAAGGCAAGTGAAGCAGAGTTCACCAGTTTCTGAGACCTCAACATATCAAGGTATAGTTTGGTCAGCATTATGCCCATCTGCCTTTACTTCCCTAATATAGTCAGGTACCCTTCAGAGTTGGGTGGACTCAGGGATGTGTTCTATCTTTCAACCATGCCGTCCCATCATACATAAATGGTATTTCTTTTTTTTTTTTTGCCGTTTTAGAAATTATACGCCATAGTCACCCATGTTGATGAAGTAAGTCCTTCCTGTCTAAACTGACATCACACTTCGACCTCCACCCCCACCCTGTAAAATTACAAATTTGCTTCTTTGATATATCACAATTATTTTCTACAATACTAACTGAGCTGTTTATAAAAAAAATATTTGCAAACTAGATAATTTAATAAAGCATGCTTACAAGAAGATCAATTTGCATTACACTTTTTAAAAAAAATAACTAAAATAAAATTTTAAAATACTGCTAAAATTTAGTTTTAAAAATCCATTTTTAAAATGCAAAAGTGTGATATTAACCTTTCTTAACCCTCTTCCATGTTACACATCATCACTTAAGTCTGACCCCCCCCCCCATCCCCACCTACTTAAGGAGTGTGACAACAATTATATCTCTAATTATTAATTAAATTATACTTGCATACATATCAAACAAGAATTTACATTATCTTGCAGAAATATGCGTAGAAAAACTATAATAGTTTGTTATGCTTTATTTAACTCGATTTGACTACCATTAATAATTTAATAATCAATAATTTTCTTGGTAGTTTTCCCTGTTAAGAAGCAAATGTAAATGGGTATTTTAATTTTAATATTTATAACAGATTATTAAACAATATTTGTAATGTATTGTGAAATAAAATTTTAAACATGAACAACACAACACTAAATATAAAGCTAATTATTATGATTCAAAATTAAATAAGACGCACAAACCTATTTCATCAATTCGAATAGGTAAACAACTGCTTCTGTATTGCCAGTTACAGTGGAAGACAGCACCAGGTTCATGGACTCCAGGTAAGGCTGAATCATTGGCCCGCGGAGCACCAGCTAACAACCTGTAAAACAGATTGATTATTATTGAGATAAACCACCAAGGTGCTGATGTTCAACTTGAATGTATTAGTGCTCTGTATGGGGCAGGGTCTTGAAGGACAACAAAGACCACTGTTGATAAAGTCCATATCTTAATAAACAGAATCTGCTGACCCGACAGGACAACTTTCTGCAGGTGAAGAAATTAGTAAAAGAAGATAGGGTTAGATAGGGCATAAACTGTGCAGATGGCCAACCAATACCACCAGTGGAACCCTTAAGGAAAGCACAAAAGTGATCGACCAAGAAATACCTGGTGACAGGACCTGGAAGCGGAAACTACAAAAATGGGCTTCACCTGGATTCACATTGAGAAAATGGCACATGTAAATTGTAATCTTTGGTTGGTGGCAATATATATATATATATATATATATATATATATATATATATATATATATATATATATATATATATATATATATATATATATATATAAGGCCTTTATATTTGATATATATTATATATATATATATATATATATATATATATATATATATATATATATATATATATATATATATATATATATATATATATATATATATTAAAATATATTAAATTAATATAGGCCAATAGGCCTAATTAGTAATTACTAGTAATTAGGCGTATTAATTATATATTATTGGCCCATATAAAAAATATATAAGTAGGCCTAGGCCTAATTATTAATTAATAAAATAATACTAGTTAATAGGCCTATAGTTTTATATAAAATTATAATCATAGGCCTATTATTTATTATAGTATTAATTAGACAAAACCTATTTGGGGGGGGGGGGTCTAATGTTTGTAAATGTCTTTCCTTTATTTAGAATTTACAAACATTATTAGTCCCTGGCCTAGAGAAATGCTTTGCCAAGAGAAATGCTTTACTTTAAGGCGCCCTTAATCCCTCATTCGCTTTCAAAGTTTGTTTTGATACGCTTGCTACTGAGTTTAGATTTTACACATACCCGCGTCAACAAATATGGCCGCGCCCTTGCACTTGTACAGACGCCGCAGTTTAGCGGCAGTTCGTGTGCTTGCCTAATTAATTAGGCCTGATTATTTCATGTGTACTTCTTTAGTCACTTTAAAATGTCACGAAAATTTTTCGAAATTCAGAAAACATTCAGACGATCATTTGAACTGCCTGGTAAAAATATTAAATGGTTTCCTGGTCATATGATGAAAGGATTGTTGCAAATTCAGGCTAAACTTCAAAAAGTGGATTGTATCATCGAAATACACGATGCCAGAATTCCGATTTCAGGAAGAAACAATCGTTTTAGAGATGTAATAAAACTCAGACCACATATCTTATTATTAAATAAGGTTGATCTAACTCCATTAAACACAGAAAAGGATACAAAAGAAAAAATTGTGAAAAAGTTGCATGAACAGGGTGTGGATTCAATATTTTTTACAAATTTTAAGAATACAGCTCATGAACAATTTTTAAAAAAAACAATTTTACCCGTAGCTCATGAACTAATCGAATCTAGACCTAGATATAGCCGAGAAGGCCAAGAGGATTATAATTTGCTGGTAATTGGAGTTCCAAATGTTGGAAAGTCAACGTTTATAAATTCTCTTCGATCAACATTAATGCTTAAAAAAGGAAGAGCAACATCAGTTGGCTCTATCCCTGGCATTACCAGAAGTGTTTTGTCAAAAATAAAAGTAAGCACTAATCCAAATGTTTACATCATCGACACCCCTGGTATACTGTCACCACGCATTGGAGGACTGGAGGAAGGGATGAAACTAGCAGCTTGTTCGTGTATACCAGATCACCTAGTTGGAGAGGTTGATGTTGCTGATTATGTTTTATACTGGCTAAACAAGAATGAACACTTTCAATATATTGATCATTTTGAGCTTGAAGAACCCACAGACAATATTTTAAATCTTTTATCTAAAATAGCTATTAAACATAAGTTAATATTACGTGTCAAAGATGTGGCAACAAATCAATTTGTTTATCGCCCAGATAACACTCAGGCTTCATTTTTATTTTTATCAGCATTTAGAGAAGGAAAATTGGGTTCTTTTATTTTAGATAATATTGGCTAATTTTTCTTGTTCTTGTTAAACTTGCTGAAATCATCTTATATCTTTCTATGTATGCCTTTCACTGTAATAAAGGATATTTAATGTGTAGCCTATTGTTTTTATTTTGTTGCTTTGGTTTAAATATAATAATAATTATTTCTTTCAATAAATTTTGTATGATGTTAAATGTTGCTTATTCAACTTTTGCTGACCTATTCATAGGCTTTCTCATTAACTATTTACTGTACAGATATATTTATATAATTTTTTTACTTCCTGTATGGCTAAGTGAAATGACACGTTTCAACCACAACACTTTACAAAAATTATTTTAAAAACAACCACATAAACTAAAAAGCATTATAATAAATTATACAGGAAAATTGTCTTAGATTATTATTTTTGTGTCTTAAACTTAATTGCTTTTAATAATTAATTTAACATACAAAGAATACAGTTAAGAAAAGTTATTTCGCATTTGTGTCTGTATCTCCAAAATCTTGTTACATGTGAGAATTTCATTACAACATGGAAAAAATTAGTACTAGTATATAATAATACTGGTGTGTGTTCTCTAACCATTTCTGTCTCTTAGTGTAATGTATGTCTTGCCAATGAATCAAAAGAATTCTTATGAGACTACTGTTTTAAGGAAGTCTGGATTTTTCTGTGTGATTGTTCTGTCACAGAACCATACAGCAGCACTAACTCTGTGCTGCCACCATGTTTATCTTCTCCTGCTTCGTAGGTTGTGTTAGAGGTAGTCTACAAAGTCTAGGGCATCAAGTTGGATTTCACATAATCCATTGTACTCTAATTCTATTTCTTCAAACAATAACTGTTCCTGTTATACCCCAGTTAACAACCATGGGACATTTGACAAGACAATACACACATACATACCTTTATAAGATGCCATAATGTTGGAAAATGCTTGTAAAGAGTTTCTATTTCTATACCATTGATTGTTCTCTAATCATAGTGCAATAAGTTGGAATCTTGATTAGGTAAACTTCCTTCCATTTCAGTATGTCCACTGATGTCTTCAGTAACCCCTCAAAATCATCCGCTCATTTGTTGGTCTAAACTGTTTCTCTTAATGGTCTTCACTGTATATGTGGTGCATTGCAGCTAATTGTTCAGGTAACAACATCTGGTTTCACTAATGGGCAGATAGACTAATTTACCTCTTCTCTGCAGCTACATTTGATGCCTTGACTGCCTTAAAGACTGTCCTGACATTATGGATTCCTTGTCTATTCTCCTAATCCTCTCAGCTTGATAAGCCAATTCTTATTGAAGATTCTTTTACCTGGCCCAAGTTCTTTGTAAGTTGTGTTTTTGTTGCTATTTGTACTTTTTTACATGGTAGATCGCTTCCCCCACACTTGTACTACTTGTATGTCAAGATATACAAAAGAATTAGGTCAGTCTAGCATTATTGAAGTACTGCGCTTGTTATTGATGAACTATGTAAGCAGAGTTTGAATAATCACCTGTGATCTGGATAAAAACTGTAACAAACCAATAGATTCTACAACTATGTGTTCAATCTGTGTTATTTATCATCTCACAAATACCTATAAATAGTTCAACACTCAGCCCTCCTCTCTTTAATTATCTTGATATGGAACTTGCATATAATCTACACTAAGGTTTCTTTGACAATTTATGCACCAGACCAACATTAATTAACTGTGGCTCCAATGAGACAACATAAAATAATAGTATGCTCAAACTAATTTTGAGATTACAATTAAATGCTCTGACTTTAAATGAATGTTAACATAATTATGTTAATTCTCTTAATGAAGTACCCCAAATAATTGCATTAATCACATTTGATTACTGCATCAAATGTCAACCATGTATCTTGGCACTTGGTTATTTTAAAAAACCAGATTAGAAGCATTGAATAATATTGTTGAGAAAAACAACCTTGTTTATAATTAGTTGCAATATATAAATTTTAAATTAAAAAACGTGTTTGACCCATCTCATTTTAAATGTGTAGAATTATAAAAATTAAGTTGGTAACCATTTTGAGAAATATTCATTCCACTCTAAACAATATGTAATAGATTGAAATAATTGTGAGGTCAAGGGAACTCACTCTTCTGTATTAGTTATATTTATAATATTGTTATCTTGAGTGATGTCCCTTGGGTACTTCCTTCCGTCCTCTCTGGTATTACCATCATGATGTAGTTAGACCCAATAAACGTGTTATATACAACCACAGGCTTCTGTCGTCAATCTATTATAACTGGCGACGAAGGATAAACATCTACTAGAAAGAGCACCTACTTACGCAAAAAAGAGGTTTGCTAGAGCTTATTAGCTAATTATTTCTAGAATTATGGCGCTGTATGGCCAAATAAAAGAATTTGATGCGAATGATGAAATCATTCAAGATTACCTAGAGAGGTTAAGCTTTTACCTAGAAGCTAACGACGTGACGATAGAAGCCAAAAAGAGAGCTGTTTTGTTAACAGTCATAGGGCCTCAACAATTTAGGCTACTAAAAGACTTATCCGCGCCAGCTAGTCTAACTACCAAGAGCTTTAACGAGCTGAGCAAATTGCTAACAGACCACCATGCGCCTACCCCATCAAAGTTTCTATGTAGAGCTAGATTTGACAGTAGGACTCGTCAACCAAACGAGTCAATATCAGAATATGTTGCTGCTTTACGTCATTTAAGTGAATTTTGTGAATTCGGAGACACGCTGTCTGACAGATTATGTGAAAAGTTTGTGACAGGTGTAAACAGCCCTGATATTCAAAGAAAGTTGCTGCTCGAGTCAGATCTAACATTGGAAAAAGCAATACAACTAGCAATTTCATTCCAGCAGTCATCTGATGCGGCGAGATCTTTAGCACCTTCAGAGATCCATGCAGTAAACAGCAGGTTAGTCAATAAACATCAACCCCATCAGAGCATTCCAACTTATGCTAAACAGCCTGCTCGTTCAAATCCTAGATCTGAATCTAGTAATAATTATCAAAAATGTCATCGATGCAAAGGTCCCCATGCATCTCATCGGTGCAAGTTCAAGTCTGCAACTTGTTATAAGTGCAGTAAGCAAGGTCACATTGCCAAGGCCTGCTTTGCAAAGTCTTCGTCTGTTGCTAAATCTAGCCAGTCAAGACAGTACCGCAACCAAAGGCAGCACTATGTTAACTCTCACCAAGACTACCTAACCCAACCAATGAACCACTCTACCTGTGAAAATGCTCAAACTGATTCGCAGCCGGATTTCAACCTATTCTCTGTGAAATCAATAAGTCATGCTCCCATCAATGTACCAGTTAATATCAACGGTAAGAGCATCAGCTTCCAACTGGACACTGGAGCATCTCTAACAATCATAACAAAGAAAGATTTTGACGCTGTCATAGGAGGATCAGTGCCTCTACAGCCATGTCACAAGTGTCTAACAACATACACTGGTGACAATGTTCCGGTAATAGGAGAGTGTATGGTTCATGTAAGTTATAATGGTCAAAGTGTTAAACTTCCTCTTCTTGTGGTTGAAGGAAATGGACCGCCATTACTAGGTAGGAACTGGTTAAGTGATCTTAAGTTAAATTGGGAGAGTATTTGTTCATTGAAGAATGTAAAAGAATCTAGTCTTACTTCACTAGATAAAGTTATATCTGAAAATAAATGTGTTTTTGGTAACTCAGGATTACTAAATGATAGAACAGTGAAGTTAAGCATTAAAGATACAAATCCAAGATACTGCAAAGCTAGAGTTCCACCTTATGCAATGAGGAATAAAATTGAAAATGAGCTAAGTAGATTGGAAGCTAATGGCATCATAAAGAAGGTAGACTATTCTGATTGGGCAACGCCCATTGTGCCAGTGTTAAAGAAGGATGGTTCTATAAGAATTTGTGGAGATTATAAAACTACACTGAATAAGCAAATAGAGCTAAATAGGTACCCTATACCTAACATTGAGGAAATTTCTTTGAATTTGGCAGGAGGAGACAAATTCACTGAATTAGACTTTAGTCATGCTTACACTCAACTAGAACTGCATCCAGATTCAAAAGTCTATACGACAATAAACACACATAAAGGACTCTACCAATATGAAAGACTATGTTTTGGCATATCATCTAGCCCTGGAATTTTCCAAGCTGTCATGGACAGTATTTTTAAGGATATTCCAAATGTTTGTGTGTATTTTGACAATGTGTACATAACTGGTAAGAATGACACTGAACATCTTAAAACACTAGATAAAGTCTTGAAAATTGTTGGTGAAAAAGGTTTAAAGATAAACAAAGATAAATGTCAATTCATGTTGACAGAAATTAGTTTTCTTGGTTATGTATTAAGCAAGCAAGGCATCAGACCTCAACCTGAGAAAACAAAAGCCATTAAAGAAGCACCCAAACCTGAAAATACCCAACAACTAAGAGCTTTTTTGGGCTTAATAAATTACTATGCAAAGTTCATAGGAAATCTGTCTGGTAAACTATCACCACTGTACAAGCTGCTACAGAAAAATGCAACTTGGCACTGGGGTAAACAACAAGAAGCTGCTTTTAATACAGCAAAAGAGGCTTTGTCTGCTGACACCTTACTAACTCACTATGACCCAGGGAAAAGACTTATATTAACATGTGATGCTTCACCAGATGGTGTAGGAGCAGTCTTGTCCCACATGGATGAGAAGGGTAACAGACCCATTGCTTTTGCCAGTAGATCTTTGAATCAGGCTGAGAAAAATTATTCTCAGTTAGATAGGGAAGGCTTAGGCATCATTTTTGGTGTTAAGAAATTTCATAAGTTTCTGTTTGGTAGGAAGTTCACCATCTTTACAGATCATAAACCATTGCTAGGTTTATTTGGAGAAAACAAAACCCTACCTGAGCATGCCTCACCAAGAATTCAAAGATGGGCTATCACACTAACTGCATACAATTATGAATTGAAATACAAACCTGGATCTGAGAATAGTGCAGATAGTCTTAGTAGATTACCTTTAAAAAACCAAAGCCTGAGCTATGTACCAGAAGATGTATTTGTTCTCTTCACTATCATGGATAACTCCAATATAAATGTGAATGATATTAAAAGAGAAACACAAAAAG